AGTTTTAATAAGACCCTTCTTATTGCTTTTGTGTGTTTTGTGCAACCAATAATCAAACATTCTAAAATTAATTTACCACCATTCCCCTTGTGTTCGACACCTGGTCTTACCACAACTATACTATTACACGACTAGGTACACTGCCTAGTGTGTTTACTAGTCCGGTTGAGATAAAATCAATTATATATATATATATATATATATATATATATATATATATATATATATATATATATATATATATATATATATGATCCGTAATCTTGGTGATTAGTAGGATATTAGTTTTTATAATCGTATATATTCAACATTAGGGTGAAACCCTAATTTATGTCTTCGAGACCGTCTTTGTGACCTTCGTTCTCTTGATGAGAACATCATTTCTTAGTGAAAGCATCTTTGTGATTACTTATGTTCTTTGTTTTCTGTTTAATCCTTGTTTAGTTAGTTTGTTCTTTGTTATTCATACTTGAAGTTTATCTGATAGAAAAAAAAAACTTTCAAAACCATAGGATAATGTAGCCGTAGATACTATGACTAGTTATAAGCTATGATATTATGCCTAAGAGTTATGATGTCTAATAGACTATGAAGAGATATTACCTAGATGTTATAATGGCCAATTACCTATGATAACATAGTACCTAGAAGTAATGTTGATCAATTATAGGGATATGCACTATACCTAATCATTACTCTGCCTAAATACCTTATTTTCAAATTAATCATAATTAGGTTATATATATATATATATATATATATATATATACAAAATAATTATGAGATCTAAAAGTATAATTATCAAATATAAAGTAAAAGATTTATATTGTGATAGTTATAGGAAATCACTAAGGAAGAAAGATAAAAGATAAAATACCTAAGGTTAATGCGTTAGTGAGCTATTATTATTCATCCTTAGCCTGATTAAATTCGACTACCCCGAACTTGTAATCGTTAAAAGTATAATTATCAAATATAAAATAAAAGATTTATATTGTGATAGTTATAGGAAATCACTAAGTAAGAAAGATAAAAGATAAAATACGTAAGGTTGATGCGTTAGTGAGCTATTATTATTCATCCTTAGCCTGATTAAATTCGGCTACCCCGAACTTGTAATCGTTAATCTTGCGAGAGCTAGAAAGATATGTGTGGATCTATACGGGGATTGACACCCCACCTGCAATTGCTAGCTACAATACCAACATGATAACTTTCTTTATTACTCAGACACTATTCGACGTCCGATGAAGCATCGTACAGGGAAATGGTTACTCAATCAACATCGATTATGGGGGCTCATGGTAGGACACTACAACCACCTTAGAGATCCGACTACCTAGAGGGACGCCTTCAAGTAGTAAATATATTACGTTAGGATTAATAAAGTATCCTAAAAAGATAGTAAGATAGGATTGATAAAATATCGTAAAAGATAATAAAATAGGATTGGTAAAGTATCCTATAAAGATAGTAAGCTAGGGTTATCAAAATATCTTAAGAAGATTTTTTCTAAACGAAAAAAGACTATTGATTTAATACTACCAAATAAAGCAGAAAACTATAAAAACATGTGGACTCACCAACATTATGTTGACGTTTTCAAAATTACATGTATTATCAAGGAGATGAGTGTGGAAGATAGTCGTGGAGAGCAAGATGTCATCAAGAAAGTTTGTTGGAGTTTATGTGAGTTGTTTGTCCTTTCTAACAATGTAATCCCAAAAAATAAATTATAATAAATAAAAGTACCGTTTGTGTTATATTTTTGTGTAATGTTCAATATATATGTGTGCCTCGATCCAATATCCCTACGTCGCGCAGCCCGGCGTTTCGGCCGCCGGCCGGGGGTATGATAGTCCATTTTGGTTATGAAAAATACTTCCTTACCCTTTCTGATGGCTTCTTTTAACCTCATCAAGAACTAGGTACAACAATAAACATTATTTTCACGGCCATACCAAATTCTATAAGGAGGGTTTGGTTGTTCCCATCGATAGCAACTGCTACAAACATTGTTTTTAGGTAGTCTCATCTAAGACGGACACTACCTATGAAGATGACAGGCAAGAAGCAGCCTATGAATGCATGAACCTGTATTTTTTGGGAAAACAAACCAATTAGCTTAGATGTAAAAACATTATCAATTTTAAAGAAACAATAGAAAAATGCAAAAAAACAAATATATATATATATATATATATATATATATATATATATATATATATATATTATAATATATATATATATATATGATAAGGGTTAGAAGTAGAAAGGGTAAAAAAATCATTTTAGAAGCATACGATCTCCGGAACAGATACCTTTTATTTTTTCAATATAAAAAATTTGAAATAGAAAGGGTAAAAAAATCATTTTAGAAACATTTAAGGACTTGATAGTTAGATTCAATGGCAAAGAGAAGGGTACTTATAAATTTTAATAATTCATAATGTACGAAGTATCTTACCAAGAGGAAGTACTCAAAAAGTTGATTTTGTAAAAATATCTTAAGATATGAATGAATACTAGGAAGCTAATGATGATATAAACTAATTTAAATTATTCTTGGTAACGAACCTGTTATACATGATGAACATAACATTTAGGTACGATGGATTTAAATATTAAAGGAATGCTGTGTGAGACGATTTGATTGTAAGTAAGAACTCATAATTTAAGATGAAAAGTTAAAGTTAAATTACACATAAGAAACACATAAAAAGTGTTTGGGCTTTAAGTATATACTCTCACGTGAGGGGGATCGTGGGGTGGGCTAACAGCCGAAACAAACGCCTGATAAGTCTAATGGCCAAATCCACAACAAAATTTGTCAATAAAATCAAATCCGCAAGTTGAATTTTTTTTTTTGGCTCAATCTAAAGAAAATCGCAAAACTTAGGGACTAATTTTGTAATATTCTCTTTATATTTCATGACACAACATAGTGTAAAAAAATACACATTCAAGTAATCGTTAAGATTTTAAAACCATAATCTCATTGGAAAATTGAGTCAATTTGGGATTAATAATCTAGGGACAGGTTTTTTTTTTTTTTTTTTTTTTTTTTTTTTTTTAATGATAGATAAAATAACTAATTAACGACATATAAAAAAAAAACTTAAAAACAAAAGATGGATTCCAATTTTCACTCTCAAATAACCTGGAAATATATGAATTGACAAACATAATAGAAGTTTGTCGCTTTTGTCCTATGTAACTTGCAAATCAGCTTATGTAAAGTCAAGTCGTCAACCTGATAACAAGTGGAATTTCTTCGGTTTCTTTTATTTAATAAGTATAAAGTATCAAATCAAAGCAGTATTTTTAGACTTGAGAAAATTTTATTATGGGCTAAAAATAGCCCATGTTTAAGTCCAGTAATAACTAGTAAACAATGAATAATGACAGAATTCATTAAATCATGTAGGAGTAAGACGATGTTTTCTATTGAAACCAAATAGAATAGACACAAATTTACTTGGTTCGTTATGGGCCTAATATATAAATGTTTTACATGTCCTTTGCTCTTTTCCTTATCAAGTCTCTGAAGATTTTACTGCAAAAAATACCATGGCATATTCTCTAGAGACCCAATTGGTATCAAACTAAAGGTAAGCCCAACATGGAATAAATAGGTTTGGGTAATTGATGAAACCATTTTTAAATAAACTGTTGACACACACGATACGAAATTAAATTAGTAAGGTTTGCTTCAAACTTTTACAACCCTTCCAGTGTTTCAAAATTCAAGTCCGCATGACATGATATGATATATTTGTAATGTCTAAACTCTAAATCTGATAACTTGATATAAAATAAACAAGGTAGGATAAAGATTTTAATATGTTAAATAAACAAGTTTATAAAACATATAAATTAAACGGTAATAATATGGTCAAACTTTTCAACTTGTCTAACATTTCAATATGATACAATATGACACAACACAACGTTTTTATTAGGTTTATCGATAATCACGGATCATAGGCAAACAAAACCAAGATCCAGGACCCACATGTATTATGTAAAAGATTTTAGTTGTTTAAAGAGGAGTTGTTTAATTTGAGCACAAGGTCGAGAGGTTGTCAAATAAAAATAGCACATTGAAGCACGATATTCATATAATTGGATCAGATTTACGATCAAATCATAGAATTAAACATCAAGATTAATCTGCTAATTATGTCTAAGAAGACAACATGAATAAAGAAGCAATAAGACGGTACCAAAAGAGCTAAGAGCTCAAGCAACAACTCTTTACTAAATACACATCACAAAATATCAATAAAAATTAAAGGAAAATGTTAGCTAACTGTTGACCTAAATTCGAGTCAAGATGTGTTTTTGACATAATCAGAAGGACTATTTTCGGATAGAATTGTTCACTATTCAGATAAACTTTAATTTTTAAAAATTGAAAAATTAAACTTAAATTGGACTAATATGATTTGTATATTCAGAGGCGGAACCAAGAATATTCATAAGGGGTAGCCCATATTTTTTGGTGAAAAATCATATTATTGCACGCTTGTATCTTAGACTCTTAGTTTAAGTATTGTGTATCTAATTAAATTAAATTGGAATGTGTCTCTTTTGAGATAACCAAGTTGATAGTTAACCTACAAGCTACAACAGAACAACATATTGTATGGCAAGAAAACATCAAGTCAAGAGTAGAGAGACAAAATCATCTATCAATGTCAAGTTTGTAACCATATTTTGTACAGAGCATTCAAATTTACAATACCAAATCAGAGAAAGAAAAATTACAAGAAACAGAAATCAAAATACAGAATGTCACTAGAGCATTTATGCAAACACCTTGTGTTCATATCAATGGTTTACTAGTATTTAATTATGTAATTTTGTATGAAAGGGGAAAAGAAATTAAGAGCACCATTTACCAAAATTACATATAGATTATATGACTGATGCATATCTTATTATTTATGAGTTTTTTCTCTCTCTCTCTCTCTCTCTCTCTCTCTCTCTCTCTCTCTCTCTCTCTCTCATTTGTGAACCTTAGCATCGTCAGTTTGGGATCATACTTGTGAGTGGTTATATATTAAGATTAGTGACTAAAGTCGAGCATTTAGCATCTAATAGAACTTGGATGACGTGACGATTGAAGTCACATCTCAACCTCCTGTGTCAACCATTACAGCTAAACCTTCAACACTTTCATTCACGGCCTTCACGCTATCAACCAACCTCTCATTCGTCTGGTGAGAACAGCCGCCATAACCCACTAAAACCACCACTGATTCGCTGCACTATAATCATACCTGCAAATCGAAAAAAAAAAAAAAAAAAAAAAAAGATAAATCCTCGTTTTCTCTTTGAATCCCATCAAACCCACGCACCCTTCTCCATCTCGCTCATCAAACCTGCAAGTCGATTAAATGGAAAGGGGTTGAACCTCGTGTTCTTTTGTGCGATTGAAGGGAGAACGGGAGAGACAGCTGGTGAAATTTGAATCAGAACAGAAAGAAGATAGATGAGAAATTGATCGATTGCAAGAGAAGGAACATGGGGCTTAAAGAATAAAACGGAAAAAGTGTGCATATCTCGGATGAATTTGAGGGGCATCACGGGCTACCCCGAGATCAAATGTGGATCCGCCAATGTCAGCATATTCTTAGTTTTAGATTGATTACGGAAACCAAATCATTATTGTTGATGTCGAATTGGGTTGCTTATTCAAATGAGAATTGAATAATCTAAAATAAACAAATTGTCATTCCTTATTTATGTATTTATGTTTTTTTATCTTTAATATAAATATTTAATCATGTATCCGACCTTCTTTATAATTGTATTAAAAGATTAGTCTAAATACAAAATCTTAACAGATTTACAAGGAAAAGTTTCGAACATAGATTCAACAGACTCAATCATTGCTCTCGTGCCACGACTTTGTGCTCCGTCAAACTGTATCTTATTAATCTTGAACCTAATTATTCATTTTGAAATCCATCGTCTACTGGATATCATATTGTGAAAATTAATCGAACTGAATTAAGATTTAGTTGATTTGGGCTATATCTTAATTTTTTTTTGAATTATTTGATATTTAAAATAGTCGAAATCAATTTAGATTCACTTGGTCGGATCAGATCAAATAAATTCGTCAAAAGAGAAACTCATACTAATGGGCTTAAGAGGTGTGAGGTAGGTTGCTTCGGTCATGTTTATATGGTTTCGTTAAACTTGATGACACTCAAAATCTCTTTAGGGAGGTCTCTGGTGTAAAACTTTTGTAAAAACATAGTATTAGAGAAAAAAGCAGAATCAATGTTAGAGCAAGGAGGATAATGGTAAGAAGATTTTAGGGCCCTGGAAGTGGGGTTTTTATAAACTGTTATGGATTAATTCATACTGAAAATAAGATTGCTTAATGATCTGATACCTAAATACCAAAATTATATAATATTTAGAAATAAGTTCATTGGAAATGAAGTCCAAAAGTCATTAGCAAATAGCATGGTCATTGCATATGGATAAGTAATTTCCTCCGTATGAACTTAAAAGAGTCATCCACTTCACTTGTTTTAATCGCATCAGGAATCTAGAAGTGAAAAGTGTTGAATAATGAAAGTAATTCCAAAATGTGAGTATTTAGGAGTACATGCATTCTCATAATATATGTCATGGTGGGGATTTGGATTATCTAAACAACTTGAGTTTTGACATTAATCCATTGATCTCATATAGGTTCTAAAGCATAACAAGAATATTGTTACAACTTTAGATTTCTCTTGTTTAACATGTCATAATGCTTTCTTAGAAGCTTTCTATGTTTATCCATGTTCCATACTTTACGCAAACAAAGTTGAAACTGATTGATTAAATGTCATCTCAGTCATACTTAAAGGTGGAACTAACGTAACTCATTATATTAATTTCACCATCTAGTTATCCATAAACTAAGAATATATCTTAAGTATATTCTAGAGTAATACGTATATTCCATAAAAATCAAGGGCATTCATTATGATTTATTTATATTCAACCAATGATGCCTTATGCATATTAAATATTAGGTTAAGTACATAACATTTCATGTATGGTAGACATGGTGGAATGAAGTCCAAATAGTTCACGGACCTCATCAGATGTGGTATTTCAATTGGTATAAAATGAAATTTAGAAATATACATCTTGAACCAGTTTCAAGAACTGTCAATGTTTATACCATAACTAAAAAAAATTATTTTGTTCATATCTATCTTATATAAACCTTGATTATTGCACTGCATTTTTGAATCATATTATAACATGATATTTCATAATCTTTATTAACATTCAGAGGAACCAAAATCTTTTGTATATTATCAATGTGTATGTCATATCCTATATTAGGTAAGATTGTAACGTATAAATTTCCAAAATAATTTTTTCATTTTTAAAATAAAATAAAAACCCATTTTCGTAAAGATACATCCAAGTCAAGTCCATTTTTTTAGAAACCATAATTCAAATCAGAGTTTTAAAGAAAAGTGTCGCAGAATCTCAAATCATTGAACTAATGATGGTGTGTACAATCACACCTTCGCCTTCCCACGAATTTTCAAAGTACCTGAAAAATACTTACTCCACAACTGTAAGCACAAAGCTTAGTGAGTTCCCCAAAATACACCACACAATAATACACACATAATGCATGAACACAACGCCTACATCATACAAATAGACCGCCACCTGGGCCTTCAACACAAAGTCGGACCGCCCTCCAGAGCCTACAGTATCAAGTTGGACTGCTCCCCTTGAAACTAAGTAATGAACTGGACCATCTGCGCCTCTTGGCCTTCAACATATAGTTGGACCGTCTCAACCCAACCACAATATATCGACATCTGCAAACAAACAATAATCAGCAAACACATGTAATCATAACAAATTTACCTCTCTAACAGATCACTACATCATATCGACATCCTAACATACAAAGGATCTGTATTGTACTACAAAGTATAGTGAGAAAACACACCTGAGCTAACCAGCAGAAACTCAACAGCAAAACTCAGCAACAGAACAGCTAATACAAGCTACCTAAAACCAAACAGGAACTAGTCTTAAGTCAAATACTCAATTCTACCCAAGTTTGATAAAAAGTCAAACCGATCAAAAGTCAATGGTCAAAGTCAATTCAACGAACCACCACATCGTGGCAATATTGTAACGTCCGAAAAATAAGACCTAAAAATTTCATTTTTGATTTAATAAAAACATTAATCCAAACATTGTCATACAATCCCAAAAAAGATCAAAGTATGTCACTACATCAAAACATATCAGAGTAAATCTCAAAAACGCGGAAAAGGTAGTGTGTGCTCTGCAATCATCCCGAGCTCTTCCCTTTCGATCCAGAAGTACCTGAAACATAAACTGAAAACCGTAAGCCCAAAGCTTAGTGAGTTCCCCAAACTACCACATACCATACATAAATAAACATATATTGGGCCCCCGCCCCACATCGGACCTCGCCCGACATCGAGTCTCACTCGGCCTCGGGCCCCGCCAGACATCGAGCCCCCCTCGGATTACAGATATATCATTTATTAGGACCCACCTGACATCGGGCCCCGCCCGGTACACATAATAAACATATAAACATATAAACATATAATAATGCTAACCATGCAATAACCACAACCAATAGTATACAATACAGTCACCGGGCCTCGCCCGACATCGAGCCTTGCTCGGTATACATATCAATACATACACATGCAAGAGTCACGCATCATCTAGCATCCTAACACAATAAACCATGGGCCGGCATTGGTTTCTTCGACCCGCTAAACATAGTGAGGAAACTCACCTCACACTGTTGAATCTCACAGATAAATCTATGGCTGCTAGCCCGCTAAGATCCATGCACTCAAAAGCCATGAAATGAAGGTGCTAAAGCTAGATCTCTAAGCTGCCCTCCAAATAATGAGTCTTCAAGCTTCTTCTTCTACCACTTCAAGATGCATAAAACCCACTAAGGATCAAAACCAAGGCTCAAAAGCACCACACAAGGCAAATGGACGAATTAGGGTTCACAAAGGTACGAAGGATGCTTAAAACAAGGCCAAAAGAGGCTATTATATGGCTTATATAGGGTACAAGCCCTAAATATAGGGTTTCATAATTGCTCACGTACGCCATGCGTACTCCACATACGCCCAGCGTACGTGGATAAGCTTCGCGACCAACATCGGGCTAGTACGCTGAGCGTACCACCCAGTACGCCCCGCGTACTAGCTCAATGACCAATTTTCAAACTTTTTAATAAGAAGGGATTAAATATGAAACTTACAATTTCAAGTGTTACAATTCCCCCCCACTTGAATCAGACTTCATCCTCGAAGTCCTCTGCTCCTAATAACTCCGGATATAGCTCCGTCATCTCATCTTCCGTCTCCCAAGTCCACTCTATACCCTTGTGGTGCTGCCATTGCACCTTCACCAACTTAACAACCTTGTTCCTCAAGGTTTTCGTCTTCCGGTTAAGAATCGCCAGCGGTCTCTCAATGTAATTCAGGCGGTATGAATAGTCCGCTCTCTCTGACTATCTGTATGTGGATGGAATGTTGTGCTAAAATGGAGATGAGTACCCAACTCGTTATGGAACCTCTTCCAAAACCTGGAAGTAAACCGGACATCTCTGTTAGAAACAACCGAAACCGGCACCCCATGAAGTGTCATAACCTCCTTGATATAAATGTCAACCAATTTCTATGTAGAAATACTCTCCTGAATCGGAATGAAATGCACGCTCTTGGTCAACTGATCCATGATGACCCAAATCGAATCCACTATGCACGCATTCTGGGGTTACTTCGTGATGAAATCCATGGTAATATTCTCCCATTTCCATACGCGGATCTCCAACGGCTGCATCGTGTCGTGAGGTCACTGATGCTCGACATTGATTTTCCTGTAAGTCAAGCACCGCTCCACATACCAAGCCACATCCCCCTTCATTTCGAGCCAACAGTAATCAAGACGAAGATCCCTATACATCTTCATTGCCCCGGGATGAATGGAGAACCTAGACTTGTGCGCCTCTTCCATCAGAACCTGACGCATACCGTCCCAATACTGAACCCAAACCCGTCGATGCAAAGTCAACAACCCACGACTATCATAATCGAAGGAAGCCAACTGACCCACAATACGCTCACTCTTCCGGTGCACTTCCTTCATAGCCTTGACCTAAGCCTCACGAATCCACTCCAAAAGTGGAGTAATCACGGTCATCCTTAAACATATATCTCTGATTGGATCTGCGACCGCCTTCCGACTAAGAACATCAGCCACCATTTTCCTGGGTGATAAAGGATCTCACAATCATAATCATTCACCACATCAAACCACCGGCGCTACCTCATATTCAGATTTGGCTGATCCATCAAGTACCTCAGGCTCTTCTGATACGTGTAAATAGTACAGCGGACCCCATAAAGGTAATGTCGCCAAATCTTGAGGGCGAAAACCACGCCCCCCAGCTCCAAATCATGAGTCGGATAATTTTCCTCATGAGGCTTCAACTGCCTCAAAGCGTAAGCGATCATGCGACTCATCTACATCAAAACTGCTCCCAAACCCTTGATCGACGTATCACAATAAACCAAAAAATCCTCAACACCCTCCGACAGGGTCAAAATTGGTGCCTCACAGAATCGTTGTCTCAAGGTCTCAAAAGTT